GGCAACAATGTAATCCTCTGTAAACCCAGTATCTTCCTCCTTCAGAATTCAAGTCAACGAGACACTGACATTTCAGTTGTCAGATTACTTGGAGAATTTGACTTCAGATCCCTCCCAGAGCTTCTCCTGCTGGTGGTGCTGTTAATCACTCTTGTTCATGAAACCAAGACAGGTCCACGAGAGCAGAAGAATTCACACCTCTCAGGTGGCCCTGTTCCTGTGATCTTCTCGGCCTGCCTCCCACGCACACTCTCTATCTTCCAGGCATGCTTGCCGAGCCAGATGAACCCAAGTCATATTTCAAACTTAAATGGATCCATTTTTTTTTAATTTAATTTATTTTACATCCTTACAGCGGTTTCCCCTTCCTCCTCTCCGCCCGTCCCCTCTCCTCCACCTCTGCTGTGTCCCCCGTCATCCACTCCTTTTCTGTTTCTCTTCAGAAAGGGGCAGGCCTCCTATGGGTATCTACAAAACATGGCATAGCAAGCTGAGGTAAGACTAAGCACCTCAAGGAATCAATTTTTAAAATATTATTACTAGTATACAAGTTTTTTTCCTCTCTTCACACTTGGCTAAATGTTTAAAAACTTATCGTAAACTTCAGAATTCCCAAATTGGAAAAGTCTTATCTGAGGACCCCAGTTTGAGAATCAGAAGACATTTTAGGTTTTCTTCCCTGTTGTGAAGAGTTCTTTTCTCATTTTTGAAGATTACTTTCACCCAATCAGCTCTGTCTGCTAGGCCCCTGTCAGGGACCCTGCTGCATACTCTCCACGGGAGCCCTTTAGAATCTCATGGCTTCTTTGTCTATGTACCAGTTCTCTTTAATGTGGAATGACAGAACGGCTGGAAAATCTGTTGATTTTTGTCAATAGAGTTGTCAAAATCTTGTCCCCTAGTGTACAGCACAGGGTCTTCCTGCTGTTTCTCTAAACATCCATGAACACACAGTAGGCACTCATAAACATCCTAGGACACAGTCAGATCAAAGCCAGGTTCTTGGCCCAAATACCATGGGAATGCCCCCAATTTCTGGTAGTCCTGTTTTCCTCTGCGTGCTCAGGAGTGGGATCTTTACTGGTCACTTTTCTCTCAACATTTTTGTTTTTCAAGCTTATTCCCAAAAGGCCCTTAAACAGAGAAGGGCTTTTCTAATCCCAAATACCAAACTCGTCCATATACTCCCTCACCATCATATAGTTCCAATGGCCTAAGAACCACGGAGTCAGGTCTATCACAGCAATTTCTCAGTAGCAATTGCTCTGTATCCTTTACTTTTTTGTTTCTGAGATTAACAAAAAAAGAAAAGAAGAAAGAAAGAAAGAAAGAAAGAAAGAAAGAAGGAAGGAAGGAAGGAAGGAAGGAAGGAAGGAAGGAAGGAAGGAAGGAAAAGAAAAAAAAGGCAGATCTCTGACAAAGACCAGTGAGAAAGGGTTTGTCTTGGCTCACAGATGCAGGGATATGCAGTCCACCAAAGCAGGGACGACACAGCAGCATATAGGAAAGGCATGGCTACAGGAGGCTGAGCCTGGCCGTCCCACCTGCATCCACCTCAGGACGCAGAGGGTGAGCACAAAATGGCACGAGGCTGCCAAGCCTCAAAGCCAGCCCCCCAGCGACCCAGTTCCTCCATGGAGGTGCCCTTTCCTAAAGATCCCACAGCCTTCGCAAGTAGTGCCACCAGCTGAGAACCAACTGTGCCACCCTAAGACTCTCAGAGGGACATTTAGCACCCAAATACTACAACAGCCAATGACAGCAACAAGTGGGGGTGCCATCTTTTTGAAGTAAAATATGTTCTAAAATTAGAAACGATGAGTGTCCGTTCTGAGAACAACATAGCCCCCCTGATTCGTATGTGTCCTTTGCATGAATGGGTTGTGTAGCATGTGAATGCTGCCAACACAGCTGGTGTTCGAAATAAGAGATGCTGCTGTTGACTCTGAGTATCGCTGTGCTCTTGTGTGGCATAGTGCTCATTACATAGCCTCACTCAAAAGAGCAGGCAAAATATTAAATGAGAGACTGCATGATGTGAAACTCATGACAAAGGAGTGGACACAGTACACCCTGGGTAATAGATGGTGAGCGTTATTGGACTTTGCTTAACAAGTCACCTCTGCTCTGCCTTTACATTACTTCTTGCTGTTAGTCAGAGTGGGCTGGAATAAGCTGCAGGGCTGATCCCCCACCCCCACCCTTTGCATGTTCTCTAGTGAGATCACACACTTAGGACTCGGATATCCGTTATTTATTTTTTAACTAATATAACTGAGACCTTGTTCAAGATGTGCTTATGAAAAATTACCCTTTTAATGGCGGAGCATTTAATGAGAAACTGGATTTTCTACTGCATAAGTGCCCTTCATACAAATTAGCTTGGCCCTGGGTCCTGATCTAAATTGGACTCCCTACTTTCCTCTAAATGGCCTAATATTTTCTTATTAATCCCTGCCCTTTCCACCTGCCCTGGCTCTGCCTCCTCATCTAACTCTCTCCTCAGCAGCAGGCTGTGCCCTGACATATGTTTCTTCAGGCTCTTTGTATCTGACCAAGGGCAGGTTTTGGACATGACTAGTTTTCTGGAAACTGTTTATTCCATATTCAACCTCACTCTGGGTCCCAATGGAGTGTTTTTCAGGGCCGGTGTGTTTATATTTAGGAACAACGGATTTGGGCCAGGTGAGTTCTAGTGCAAGGTAAAATTGGGCATTCAAAGAGAAACTGGATAGGTGAAAAGCAATTAATCATAGTTGTTCAAAAGAACAGGCTTGAAGCACAATGCGTGCCAACCCAAATCCAGGCTTTGACATTGGGCAAATGTGTGCAGGCCCTTCTAAGTGGGTGTGTGGGTGGGTTCGATGACCTCTCAGCTCTTCCCTTCCAATGTGGGTCTGATAAGGACGCCTGTCGTATTCAGGGGTAGTCAGGTGGGGCGTGTCATGTGCTTCTCGTCAGTGCTTCCTGCTGTCACTGTGACAATTGCACTTTGAGACAGTCTCGATAGTGAAGGGAGTGTTACTGGCTGTACAGGACAGTTTCATGTGTTGATTATTATCTGAGGTGGAGCAACAATCTTCCCGAGAAGTCTCAGACAAAGATAGAGTCTACTGTCACCAGATATAGCATAACAGACCAGGGAGTAAGCATGCATGTCATAGGCCAACTTGCTTACATACATGTCCAGAAAGGGATGCAGTGACAGATAGTTTCTACTCCAACCACTATGGTCTCTCTCCATTGAACTCTAATGCTTAATTTTTATGTGCCTTTTATATATTTTATATTTTTTTCATATTCCTATGGTTTTACATTCCTGACTGTGTGTCTTTCCATCATTGACTGTCAGGACTGTTTTCCCAAAGCCATTGATAGGATAGGAGTCCCAGAATTCCGAGATACAATGACTGTTAGGAGTTGGAAATCACAGGTTCAGATGTGTCTCTGTCGCCATCCTGGCGGGCCGACATGGTATCGCCAAGTCTGATCACAGAGGGGCACTACTGTTTACAGAAAGATTACTCAGAAGATGAACACATGCTTCCTTGTACCGTCTCCTTTAAATTACTATTGGCACTCTGTGAGGTGGCGGCTACTTAACCGTCCTTCCATAGATGGCAAATGAAGTTTAGCTGATGCGTTGTGGCAACCTTTTTACACACCTGCCATAATGCACTGCACATTCTTATTTGCAGTTTCTCTCTCTCTCTCTCTCTCTCTCTCTCTCTCTCTCTCTCTCTCTCTCACACACACACACACACACACACACACACACACACAAATAATTTGAGTTTCTAGGGGCATAGATTGTTTCTTCATTTGTTGCCCACAAGTAATGCTATTTATCACAGAAGCAATGATCGGTAGTGGATGGATGAGTGAATACAAGGGTTGAAGGGTAGGGACATAAAGAGAAGAGTACTACACCATGCTTAGCCATTGCTGGCTTCTTCAGAACATTGTCAGTCTCATACTATAGATGAAGGGAAGTGGTCTGATTTATCCCTGCAGTCCTCAGCTCAAGTTGGGTGGTGATGAGAGATGCCATGAGAGAGAATAACCAGGAATTCGAACCTATGATTAGCATTAGAGGCCTGGGAGAACTTGGGTCCCTGGAACTGTAGGTCCAGAGTCCAGACCCAGACTATGCAAAGTGTGGCAAGTGTTTTAATTGCCATGTTGTTCTCTAATTTATGACTCTGTGAACAAGCTACCGAATTTTATATCTGTCTTCCTTTGCAATATGACAATGGTTTGGATTTTGAAGAGTGGATATAAAGTTTATAATAAACACCTCTACATCACTTTCTTTATATGGGCATGCTTGAACTTTTGGTTGGTGTATAAAGCAAAATATGTTAATAATTAGAGAGTCTTTTGCAAGGTGCAGGCACACATTGCCAAATACTGCGGCAGCCTATTTCCCCTGCATTCCTGACTTACTAGAAGCAATATCGTAAACCCATTTTTATTATTGTTCAATGTCATTACTTGGTGCAGAGAAATTATACTGGACTTTTACAAGAAGGCAGTTCATGAGATCGGGTGTAAGGAGGATATTGGATCCTGGCCAAAGCGTCGCTCAGAGTTTTAAATATGGGAAACTCGGTGCTGATGCTATTCCAACAGGACTTTTGGACATGAACGCTTGGTTGGTGATGGCTATTGGTTCAGAACCTATCCTGCATCAGAAGCAAATTAGATGTGTTACCCATATTATCTGATCTTGTTTATTGCTCCACTGGGGGTGATTATTATTAAGGTTTTTCTTTTAGGTCCAAAAGGCTGAGGCTCAGAGAAATATTTAAGTGGGTGGAGCCAGAATTTGCATCCAAAGATATTATTATTATTATTATTATTATCATCATCATCATCATCATTATTTGACTTTCCTAGCATGTAGGTGGAACCAGGAAGGAGATCTCAGAATGGTAAGTTTTTAAAGCCAGCAGAGCTCCTGCATCCTTGTTTCTGAATCTATTTTTCTTTGTTTTCAGGTCAGGATCGCAGCGAAGCCACTTTGATAAAGAGGTTTAAAGGTGAAGGGGTCCGGTACAAAGCCAAGCTGATTGGGATTGATGAAGTTTCCGCAGCCCGGGGAGACAAGTTATGTCAAGATTCCATGATGAAGCTCAAGGTGCTGTGCAAGCATTTCTTTATGATTAGCTCCGGTTTTACACGAGGGAGGGAAAGAACCGATCACCGGGACTGTGTCAGACAGTCTCGTTGCTTGAGGGATTGGCTCCTGGATGAATCACCATATTTTCTCTCTAGGAAGAAACTTCAGTGGCTTAGAAATACTGACTGGACACTATTTTATGGAGGTATTTAGTCAGGCTTTGTTCGTGCTGCTTAAGAGGATCATAGTTTCTTCTAGAATAATGTCCTGGTAAAACCCCTGCAAAAATAAACCCACAAAATTATCAATACATTCTGTAGTTCCTCACATTTTCTGAATTTTTGCTACTTTAGTTTTTAGCCGAATGTTTTCATAGCTTGTCTTCTAGCGACAGATGTGGAGGTGCAGAGCTAATTTTATTTATTCTTCGAATTGCTGAAAATCGCCCCCAAATATTTCCTATCAAAGGAGAAGCGGCCTGGCTGATGGGATGTGCAGCTAGAGGCTGCAAAGACAGCTTTGCTCGGAGAACCAGAGGAATAAGTTAGAAAAAGCTTAAACAAACTCAATCAGCAGTATACCTTTTTTTCCAGCCACCTTAAAAACATCTGAAAAAGACATTGTTCCCCAGATGTTGACTCCACATTTTCTTGTTAACTTTTTTAAATGTGGTATAAGATAATAGAAAAGCATCGTATCTAACAAAAATTCTGTTTTATGCAACTGAAAATACTGAAAAATATAGGTAATAAAAGTTAAATCATCCAAAATCCCCCCAAAATAATGAGAGTTGACACTTCTTGTGTTTGACCTTCAATTGTTTTACTTATATCAACAATATACATATAATAAAAATAGATTATAAGTTATACAGTTTCATAAACTAGTTTTGTTTTATCTCATCTAGTAATATATATATATATGTATATATATATATATATATATAGTTAAGCTTTTTTATATATCTTCAAGTAGTCTGTAAGACACTGTTAGGTGAGTGGAATATTTTTAAGTCTAAGAAAAGGAAAAACGTGCCTACATTCTACCAAAGTGCCCAAAAGTATTTAAATGACATTAAATGACAGAAAGTTGTTTGTTGCTATCTACATCACGTTTTCTTTTATGCTTAATAAGTCACAACTGTCACTTTTCATCCGTGTTGTACAGTACTTCTTGGTACTTTGGCATGTCTGGCAGATGCTGATTCCCAGTGGCTTGGCTTCAAATAACAGTATTTTTAAAACCTACCTAATTTTCTATGGTCTGTATCCTTGTTTTTGCTATTTAAGATGTTATATAAACAAACTTTTAAAAATCAATATGTACTTAAGGTATATTAGAAAAGTGTAAAAGTGTATTAAAAACAATGAAATCAGGATTTCACACTTTCACCTTGGAAGAGGTTAGTGATTTTTTTTTTTTCAGATAATGAAGCCATGTTTTGAGATTTCAGGGCAGCTCAATAATGAGCCCTCTTTCTCTTCTAAATTCCAACCTGAATGATGAATAGGGAGGCAGTCAGGCAAGAAGATTCCCACGGCCTGCTTTGTGACTGATGAATGCTGGCCTAAAGGATGTGACTGGGAACCAGGGCCCCAGGCAGACCCCTGAACAACATAGGCTATGATGTTTGGCTTGTAGGGGAAGTCTCTGTTCTCGCCACTATCGACCCCCAACCCAAGTCAAGTTCAGACTCTGCTCATGTATGAAATCAGAAAACAGCCTGTCTGCTAGGACACGGATGCAGCCCAGAGAGGCTGAGCCTCAAGTGTCATTCTCTCACAGAGCCACCCCCACCATCCCAGCAGAACTATGACGTAACGGCCCCGAGCTGGATTCTTATTGCTGTAACTGAAGTCTAGCAAATCTGTTCTGGACAATGCCACTCCTTAGTCCTCCATGTGCACAGACCTGGCTGTCACCCAGAGCAGCCTGTCTGTGGAGAAGAGAGGAGTTCTACATCCCCTTCCTGCATCCAGAAGAAGCTGTTTATCAGGTACCAGTGGCTGAGACCATTATTGGCCAGCTGCCTTCATAGAAGCACCCAGGGTTTAAGTGGGTGTAAAGCAGCAGTTTGCTCTACTCCTGGGAGTTTATCTTTGGGATTAACACTAGGCTGTGCTAGCTAGAACAGATCTAGTTATGCATGCCGGTGTGTGTGTGTGTGTGTGTGTGTGTGTGTGTGTGTGTGTGTGTGTGTATCTCTGTGTGTATGCGTATGTGTGTGTGTGTGTTACCTGTAGTGAAACAGTCCATCTGTCATCCCTTATAATCATGAGGTCCCAAGGCCCAGGGAGTTTGTCCTGCTATAACACACTCCTGTCAAATGCACCGAACACGTTGAGAGGTCCTTCGTTTCCAGACGATTGTGTTTCATTATTTGCAACTCGCTGAGAAGAATGTTGACATTTCAGCTCCCAGTGGTTTTTCTGTAAGAAGCACAGAAACATAAATGATCGATTCTGCATTTGGCCACCTGCCCAGGAAAGAGACAGAGAAGTACAAAATTCCTTTTAGCCTTGAAAAAAGGCCCACTCGCACCTATTAGACCATATGAGAACTGGGAGAAAAGAAAGAAAAGATTGCCTTTGTTAGACTGAAGCTGGTGCATCACCCATTAGAGAATTTTCTCCTGCATTGCAGAGGTTCTAGAGAGTGTGTGAATATGAGGAGCCCACCATTTATGCACTGCCAGACCATTGTTGCATTTCAGCTTAAAGTCAACGAGGCCTCTTTATATACATAGATAGAGATTGGTTTCTCTGTTTTGTAACTATAAAATGTAGGTTCAGAGAAGTTAAAGCATTTTTTCCACACTGTGTCCTAGAACTCAGAACTAGACCTCCAGAAGTCCCGTGGCTAACATGTAATAGTTTAGCACTCGGTTGTATTATATTCTGTTTGGGAGATAATCTATCTTTTTTTTTCAGCTTGATTTCATTCTTCTACCTCTGAGATACTCCCTGGTATCCATGCATCTCTGGCTTTTAAAGAAGTTAACTTTAAGAATCCTTAGGTAGAAGAGTAGTGATTGAAACTATGTACCCATGAGTCCCAAAGGTAGAGCCTGGAGAGCCAAGAACAGAACCATAAGTATATGAGAAACAGAACTTATATTTGCGGAAATAGAGCTATTGTGAAGTCCTTTGTCCAGAATAGAAGCATAATCAAGTATTGTAAGGTGGAGAAGATTTCCAGTATCCAAAGTAAAGATAATCACACAATTTCATAAGCAAGGCTCCTCATTGTACCTCTGGCTATACTAAAAGGTCTCCTCCACCTCAGTTATTCCCCAAGTAAAGTCTGGGAGCATAGTATGCTGAGAACAGCACAAAGCGCTTTGACCTCCGAGAGCTTTGAAGTCAATATTACTACTGCTGGGAGCTGAGCCTAATCCTAAACAATGATGCAGGAATGGAGACTTTGAGATTCTGATAGGTGACAAGCAGCCTATGTGGAAGTACGCCCAGAGCCCAGTAGACACATGTGAAATCTGTGACATCACTTTACCCGCCTCGTGTGCTCTAGTTGAAAGTCCATGTTCAACTGTAGCTGTCACCACAAAATCTAACTTTAAAAAGTAAATGGGTTTACTCATAACTTGAATCACGTGAATCCTGGTGTGGGTGGTACAGATTCATTTAATGGGCATCTGATGAGCACCTGCTGCCCCACCAGTAGGGACGGGAAGATGTCCTAAGTACTAGGACTAGAGAGAGAACAAAGTAGCCTTTACCTTCCGTGAGGTTTACCTTCTTGTGGGTTCATGGATGCAGCTTCGGTTTATAAACTGTCTGGGCAGGAGGGAATAATGATTGTACTTTGTATGTGTTTTACCCCAAGGTACAAGAATGACAAGGGAAGGATAATGAAGAATATAATTTTTTTGAGTAGCAATTACTAGTGTCGGGCATAAATTATTATAATCACGTGTTTCCAAGAAAGGTGGGGGGGAAGAAAGGGATAAGGTGGGTGGGGTCTTGCCTACCTTTGCTTCTTTCAATGTCTAGAATTTATTCATACAAAGATATTTCCTGAAGTATAAAAACATAATTTTTGAGACTGTGCTGAGTAACTTACTTCATTTAAAATATTAAATCCATATTCAATATAAAAGCCCAACACAGCTGCTACTATGAGTTTCATGTTGTTTCCCTCTCAAGTAGTCTATCCTAACTCTGAGCCATGTATTGCAGCACCAAGTAGACATTCCCTATATTGGATTGCTAGGTACATCTTAACTCCATGATAAACCAGCCAAGACCACTATTACCCCGAAACATAAAGCAGATGTGAGAATAAGATGGAGAGACCCATGTAAGGGCCAAGGAAGGGCGTGTGTGATTGGTGGTTCCGGCTGATGCTGCCTGACATGCCTCTGGACCAGAGGGAGTTTTCAAATGAAAACACTAAAGCAAAAACCATGTTCTTCCTTTCCACAGGGTGTTGTTGCTGGCGCTCGTTCCAAAGGAGAACACAAACAGAAAATCTTTTTAACCATCTCCTTTGGAGGCATCAAAATCTTTGATGAGAAGACGGGGGTAAGTGAAAGAGTCACACGGCGTTATGACATTGAGTCCATTGACAGATATGCTGCTACCAGCCTCGTCTGTCTGGGCAAGAATATCAAACAAGCATAAACACGCAGAAAGCCAAGGACAAACCTGATCACCTATGATCGTCCATCAAAAGGCAAGCCTCTCACATGACGCGGCCACAGCGTTAGTGCACCATGGTCCTTCTGCTATAATTGTGGTCTAAGTGTCATGCTGTCCCGATCATCTAACGGGATATTTATGAGCTCCGTAGAGCGGTGGTCATGTGGCAGGTTGCGTTAAATTTGTGTATGCATTGGTATCTTCAGTGCCACACACGTGAGGGTGGCACAAGTCGGTTTTGGACTTGGTCAACACCTCAGACTCTCCAGTTTGACTTGTCACCGCTTGCAGATGTCGTTATTGAATGAATAAATAGAGTTCTTAATCTAAAAAGAAAAAAAAAAACAGGAAAGTAAGAAAAGATAGAAAGAAACCGTCATTCTCTAGCCAGGAGCAGTGAAGATAGAAAGAAACTGTCATTCTCTAGCCAGGAGCAGTGAAGACTAGTGAGTAAGAAAGGGCTTTGTGTGATCATCTAACTCACAACTGCACCAGATTCCCAGGCTCATCCCTGGAACTCACACACCACTGTTAGTCTTGGTCATTGAGGGTGAGAAACACGAGATAAGCCTTCTGTGACCTCATGCATGAGAAAGCCAGAATGTTTTGTTTTGTTTTGTTTTTTTTTTTCGTTTTGTTCATTCAGTGTTTAACAGCTCAGGAAACATCTCCATATGCATCACCTCCTTTGAACTTTGCAAAGATAACGCACCAGGCCATTTATAAGCAATACTCCATCCAGCCATATGATTTGACCTCAATCATGTTGTGTTATTAGTGTCTCTTGCTTGTTCAGACTAGGAACGCAAGGCTGGCAAGATGATAATTTAGGCGTTAGAATGTGTCTTCTTAAAGAAATACTACTGTACTGAAGTTACTTCTAAATGAAGAGAAGTAGAAGGGATCTTGGGCGTAAACGTAGTCACAGCCCCCAGAGGGTGGGAGTGGCCCAGTTAGCCAGTGCATAAACAAAATGTGCTTGTGTCTCAAGTGGAACGCTCGGGAGCCTACGCGTGCCAGGAGAGTCTGCAAGTGCCGCAATCTGGGTGGGCCTTGAAGAAAACACGCTGAATGGAGCAAGCTAGACACAAGATGAAAAGAGTGCTGAGTGATTCCACATGAGTGAGGAATCTAGAATATTCAAATTCCTGGAGTCCTAGATGTGCTGATGACTGCCAGGCTTAGGGAAAATGAAGATGGGAAGTGTTTTGTAAGAGCATGGGGCTTGGTTTGAAAGTGATCTAGAGAGCAGGTGATAGTGATTTTGGGGGGGGGACATGAATGGGAGGTAGAAAGATGGCTCAGCAGACAAGAGTACATACTGCTCTTGAAGAGACCAGAGTTCTGGTCCCAGCACCCACATGGCTAAGGGGTGCCTATAACTTCAGCTCCCAAGGATCTGGCACCCTCTTCTGGCCTCCATGAGCACTGCACACACAAGACTATATGTGCATTGTGCACACATGCACATAAATAAATACAAAACTTTAAAAAAAGTATGACTGTGCCTAATGGCACTGGACCATATATTTTAGAAGAGTTCATGTAAATTTTGCAATATGCGTTTTAACACAATAAAAATAAGTAGTAATAAAAGCATGTACTTATCCAGTGCCTCCTACATTTTATGTGCTTTATTCAGTTTCATTGTGATGAACATACAATAATTCTAACTGCTCTTTTCAGATTCTGTAGTAAAGCAGTGGAGACAAGCTTACTTTATATAGAAGAGAGGCTTATTTAGCGACAGCTCTTGAAGCTTTATGTCAGACCTATGGCCAAGCTGTGGGGAAGGCCCTGTAGCGTAGAGCGTCCTGGCAGTGTGAGTATGCATGAGAGCCAGTGATCACACCTGGAAACAGGGAGACAACAGGACACTGGCGTCCCACAGCTCCTTCTGAGGGCTTAGCCACAGTTAAAGAAAGGATTACTTAAGAGTCTTTACCCCATAAAGATTTGCACTGTTTCTGACATTGTCATCAATACTCCTAAAGACTAACCCTTGACACCTGAACCTTGGAGAACACAAGGGTGCAAACCATAGCCAAACCCAAGCACTACTTCATCCAGTGTGTGTCCCGCTCCAGGCGTCCTCAACCTTTTGTAAGTTTCAGGTTATAGAACAATCCTAACTATCCGAGACCTGGGTGACATCAAAGTCCCCATTTTACCGCTGAAGATGTCAAGGACAGAACACTGGGCACAATCTTCAGAAAATGAGGGGTGGCAGGTACCAATCAGAGCTCCTGTATTTTGGCAAACGTTTGCTTGGCTGAGGTGCCTGTCACCTTTTAGGCTTACTGGCTGCCCTAACTTCACCTGCTTGCTTGTTTTTGTTTTTGTTTGTTTTTTGAATTAGTTACTGAGATATGTCTTCTGTGGTCGGGAGAGACTCCAGAAAAAGCAAACAAAGAAAACTTGACTACATTAACAAGTCATAGAAAGGAAGCAGGGCACACCACACAGGGCCACATGGGGAAGACATGAGGGCAGCCAAAGACCACAAGGTAGACAAGAGGACAGCCTCTTCGGCCTCAGACCATGGTCTTGACAGGAATTCTCTCAGGAAATGCAATGCAGGGCGAGGGGGCAGTTTGGAGGTGTCTATTATGAATCATTTCCTCTGGCTCTAAGCCGTAGCTTGGTGGCTCCTCTGGTGTGGTCAAAGCAGAGCCCATTTTCTTCAGTGGGATATGAGCTGAAGAGACTGCCTGGCTCTGGATTAAAGTGTTCTTCTAAATTATTCTATTGCCAATGAAAGTTCAAGAGTCAAATGTTGGGCTAAAGCCCTGATAGATCAAGAAAGCAATGGATGAAGGATCAGCTGACCCTCTCCACACATTTGAGCTTGGAAACCCTGGGAATCTCTCCGAGCCCCTCCATGTTCCTTCCTGTGTTCTCCCCATCCTGTATTGGGTCCTCCAAAATCTCTATCGCTAATTGCAACCAGCTTGTGGTTGACTCTGCCTCCTAGTTCAAGGTTAACTTTATTATCAGTCTTGGAGTGTCACAATGTGATCAAATATCCCACAACACTGGATTGGTCAGTTTGTTCAGCCATCAACAACATAGTCCATGCTGGACTCTTTACTGTTTCTAAGAATTGCTAGCCCTGCTAAGGGCGGTGCTTCCCCAGCCAGAAAGACCTTTGACTATCTCAAAAGAGGCATGATTTATGGAAAACTGAAAAGTATTTACAAGGTAGTGTTCAGGAGGCCGAGTATAGATTCAACCTCACGTTGCCCTGAATAGAAAATCAATACAATTAACCTCTATATTATTGGAAAAGATGGGACTGTCTGCTGACGCCTTTGTGGAAGGGACGCCACAGGGGTCAGTAGAAAACACACTGGAATTCAGCAGGACTAAGAGCCCAGTGTGAGCCTCCTTGGCCTTCCTCAAAGTGTGGTTTCAGAACTTGAGAGTTTATGTTTTTCTCAGAAAGATTATACTTTTGGATATCTGTGATCATCCTGGAATCTTCCATTAAAAACAATTGAAAAGATATTGGCAAATCAGTGTCTATCCTGGTGGTCAGGACCAGGTACCAAGGCAGGGATGGGAGACTGGGAACTATGCTGGCTAAGTCTTCTCAGCACACACTTGGCCTCTGGGATCCTGTAGCCCAGAATGTCGATAACTTCAGGTACCCAAAAACGTCGAGAACTTTTCTGTCTTTCAGCACTCTAGGGGAGCCAAATAATCAGGAGAAGCATCAGAGATACTTATGCAGTGGTTTAGATGCCCCAATAGTATGACGTCATCTCTAATTCCTTCTAGTTTCCAGCTCTGTCTGCTACCATAACAACCAGCATGTTCAAAGAGACAGAGGCAGAAGCAGTAGCTTGGGGTATCTGGTATGTTTTCCTTGGTTGGGGACCATATTCTGGACTTTGCTGCTACTCCTCCCCTGTGCCATGCTGTTCCATCAAATAGGCGCTACCCAGGTAGCGATCTAATACCTTAAATGTTTACCAAGGAAGAGGGATGGTTTCCAGCCTTAGCTTTTATATACCTCCTCTAGCATCAAACTGTGAAGCAGTGTTTGTTTTTATTCTTTGTATAAGAGAACAGAAAAATAATTTTATGATCCCCAAAACAATTGACTTGGTGAGGGAAAAAAAATGTCCCATCATTGGTAGAAAATCAGGAAAGGAGACAGAGCTGTATGTTTGCTTCCAGTTTAGCCTGTGGAGATCTGTGTGGTGACCACTGGGCTTCTGGTGCATCCAGATTCTGTAGACTTCCCATATTAACACATCATAACATAAGTCCTGGAAAAATGGTAAAAGAATTTCAGTTTTATCATTTATTATTATTATTATTATTATTATTATTATATTTGCTGATTTATTTTTGTGTGTTTTGCCTGCATGTATGTCTGGGCACCACATACCCACAAAGGTCAGACAGTAGATCTTCTGAAACTGCAGTTTCCGATGGTTGGAAACCACTGTGTGGGTGCTGGGACTCAAACCCAGGTCCCCTAAGAGAACAGTGGATCCACTTAATTGACAACCCTTCTCAGCAGCCCAGGGCTGCATTTATTTAAATCTGAAGTACAAATGATGGAACTTCAAAAAGCTGTCCAACCGAAGCAGTCAACTTGTCCTGTGTGACCTTAAGAATGAAAATCGGGATCCTTGCTGGAAGTTTCTAAAAGGCAATTTTAGTATATCGGTAAGTAGGAACCTTTCTTGGCAGGCTGAACTGCTCAATAGTGAAACAGAATGAGTGATTTTGCCATCACTGGGGGCAATAAGACTCTACCCGGTGATAGAATCTTGTGAAGAAGTCATATAAGGCTAGAAATATAGAGCAGAGTGGTGTCTGCTAATTTCTGAGCTGAATTTTAAGGTTCTGCTTCTCCTGAAAGTAAGAAC